TGAGGTAGCTCCTAGCTCATTACTTCAATTAACTAACTTCCAACTGAACCTCTAAATTAACTAACAAAGATTTGATCAATTATAACTCTTTCTTAAACAATACTAAAAGGGGTTTGAGAAATCTAATAAATTCTTCTTAAAATAAATTTGATAAAGGGACTTTTTGATTGCATTTAGCTCTATTATGCTCTAAAATTCACATTTGTAAAAGTAATGTTTCTGATTAACATAGTTGCCGATGAAATTGTTAGTATTGGATTATTGCAGTTATAACAATCAACATCTTCAAAAATTGAATGCATCAACTAAAAATCCTATGTCTAAGTTATGTATTAGTCGTATTAAAGCTAAATTTTAGGATCTCTGTAATTGAAAAGCATTTAATAAGATTAGAGATCTGGATGATGCTGCCATTTTATGTTCATGAAGTAAAAATTCTAGTAATTAAACTTGAAATAGAAGATTGGAAGTATTCTTGTATGCCATTAAAGTTTTATAAAAGGGCTTATTGCTCCAACTCTCTGTGGGTAATTTTGAGCAATGTTAAATCCAAGATATTCTGGTCCTAATGGATTATCTTGTATTCCTATATGATTTAGAACTGTTAATTAGTCAAAATAAAGATATCCCTGAAAGAAAGCTAATGTTAATAACTATCCCTTAGTTTAAGATGCTTATGATTCATATTGCCAATTTGAGTCAAATGAACTCTAAGTTAGATGAACTTGATGATGTCTGAATAACTCAATCAAGGATGATACTTGAGTTTACGAATCTAATTAAGACAACTAAAAAGCTGTAAGCTCAGATGATGGTGATGCTTAGATATATCTTCCGTTTTCTCCTAACCATTATGTAGTCTCAATGCTTGACTCTCCATTTCCAATAAATGTTTCATTGTTAAAAATAGTTCTGAGTGCTTGAATGCTTATCAAAGAAATATTATTTGAGGCAAAATTTTGCTTGTATGTGTTTGATTAGAATTAGTTGATCTGATAAGGTACATTATAAACATAGTTCTAGTAAGTCTTTTAGATAATCTTTAATGGAAGTGTTATCAGTTTAATATTTTAGTAGTATTTTTATGCTACATCTTAAGCCATATCCTCATATGGAGTATCTAGATTGATATCTGAAATTGATGTATTCTAATTTACACAATACATTCTAATGATTCCACCCCCAGTTTAAGAACAAGCGTAATTCTTCTCAAAGTAGTTGGACTCAAAATATATTCCTTGGCAATAACTTAGTTCATCTGATTAAATTGCTCATAAAACATTGACAGTAGAATTCCCTTGTGAAGTAATTCTGATAATTGTACTATCATAATATCCTCCATTTTATATAAATTAATTTTTAGCAATAAGTACAGTACTTAGATACTTTTAGTTTAATGATAGAACTATCAATCCCATTACAGCAGTATTTCTGAGGAACTTATTATCAACTATATCTATTTCCCAATCTCCATGATTGACAATACTAATCCAGGATTTTATTTATAATGCCGTTTTAGTTCCATAACTAGGATACATGTCCTATTCAAAATCGAATATTCCTTATTTGTTTTTAAAGTACTCTCCTACTTTGCAGGAATCATACTTGATTACATTATTCTCAAATGTATTTCCTACTAATTTGATATTTCCATTAAAGCCATCCAAATCAAATATTAAACCTTGATATTGAAGCAAATAGTCTGGATCAACTTAATTACCATAGCTCATCGATTCTTTCATTGACCCGAAATTCTTAAATGTTGAGCCTTCTACTGAAAGTGAAAAACAAGGTTTAGAATTTTATGCTTAAGTATTACTGCAAGAGGCACTATAGGGATTTTGATTTGAAAGATCTAATTTTTCTCTCATTTTTGTTGTATAATCATTGTTAAGAGTACTTTAGTAAAATGTTTTATAATTAGAATAGTCAATCCCAGTTGGTGGTCTATGTATTAGCTTGTTTCTAACAATTGCTCCACATGTGTTGAAATTGTCAAAGACTACATTCTTCATTTTAATGTAACCACCCTAGTTTTTGTTTATCTCAATAAAGCTGTTGAATTCATACAAGAAATTTCGAAAGACAACATTCTGCAAGTTGATTTAAATGTTAATAAACTTACCTCTAATTCCAATGTGGGAGGTGTTGTGAGCATATTTTAAGAGTACATATCAAAGAGAATAAAATTTGTCCCATCTGCTGCATAACATTTCTCAGTTCTAATAATGGATTTAATTTAGAAAATTTACGGTTTTGTTTGAAATCTGCATGAAGGTTGTCCTGCTAAATTTCCATTTGAATCGATAAAACAACATTGCTAGAACTAATTTTAAGCACATTTCAAATTTGTGTAATAATCAAGCAAAAAATCTAAAGTTGAATCAATCCCCTCAAATATCAAATTTCTCATCGTGAGTCCTCCTCCAACAAGAAAATGGAAGGTATCTCTTAATTTGTAATTAATTGTCAATTAAATGTTAGGACTAGCAGGTTAAAGTATAATTTTTGTTGTTTTAGAATATTAATCCAATTTTGTGGGCATATATTTATCCTCGGGGTAATATCTGACCATAGTATGACTGCCATCAATTAATTTTATAGTAATTTCGGCTGAGGAATATTCAGCTCCTAGCTCATACGCTTTTTTTATTGCATCTTAAATAGAGTTAAAGTAATTTGTACTAGAGCCGGTAATTGAAGAACTGTCCCTATTATTTAATAAACCCGCGGGTCCTACATATATCTCTGCTGTTAATGACTATGAAGATTTTGCTGTGCAGACACCGACTTATAAATTTCTATCCGGCAGATTCAAATATTAACCTTTAAAACAGGATTTACAATTCTAATAACCAATGTTAGAGCATTCTAAGCAACTTGAATCGCATCTTTAGCAACTAGTTTAGCGGGCAGTACCTCTATATGTGTATACAATATAAGGCGCGTAACCTATTCCACAAGTATATGTGCAAGTTTTAGGGTTGCTAGAATGAATATAACCATCATGACAAGCTGATATTGAGTTTAATTATCCATTAGATGTCAATGAGCAATTGGCGATGTCAAAAGTATACTTTCCATAGATGGCATCGTAATTTGTGTATGGAACACATGCTAAATTTCTTAATATTGAAGATATTTACGAATGCAATATTCATTTCCAGTTCCTGGATAGATGGTATTCCCATACCCCTAAGCACATATATAGCATTAAACAGAATTTAAAGGCTCAATACATTTGCCATTATTGATATACACTAAATTTGTTTCAAAATAAATACTTTAACTTACTAGTTTAGCATATCCAAGGGGCTCCATCATCTCTGTAATTATAATAGTTATCATTACACACTAAACAATTAAATTTATCTATGGAATATGATTTGCATCCGTCATGAGCAAAGTAGCCTGGCACAGGAAAGTAGACTAAAATCAATTTAAGACAATCAACCTACTGCATGTATAATCAACTCCAAAATATGGAACTAATTCGCTCATTCTATCAACACATTCTGTACATTTATCAATATTTCGAGGATTACAAGTGGTACATCCTTTATCCATAGTACATTCTATTTTGAAAGAATCATTGGAAAATCTTTTTAATACTCTTTGATTATTTGAAATTAGGGTGTTTCCTAAGTGTTGGTTCCAAGTACCAATTAGTGTAAGCTCCTCCGGTTTCAAGCTGAGGAGCTGCATCACAACCATTCTTAATGTTGCAAGATCTGCAGTGAGGACCACACCCTAATATCCTTAAAAATAAATTTGATACATTAGCATGTTCTATCATAATCACTATTAATATAGGAATTATGAACTCGATTGCAATCAGGAACACAGCTTGTAAAGTAGACTGGGACATAACTGGTATAGCTAGCACGATTTATCAAATATAAACCGTCTCCACAATCTAAACACTTCACAAAGGTATATCCGTTTGTTTGTTAAGTTTAGCAGAGATTGCATCCATATATAATCTCATCACATTCTAAAATTATAATTTTTAGAAATCATACTTTAGCATTGTGATTGTATAAGTACCTCATCACTCTAACCTATAATTTAATTAATAGTTAAATTAAGATGTTTACAAGCTGTCAGAATCTTAGTGATGTGCAAATAAAAACAAAAAGTAAACCATAGAAAGGTATTCAATCGCATATAAGTTCTTGATAAAATGATAATGATTGTAAAAATATTAAAATAGAATAATTTATAGAGATAGTAGTTCAAAAGTGCCAATATTTTTAGTTAAGTATATATTATCTGTTTTTTCACTTGCTTATTCTAAAAGAAATGATGATATGGGGTTTTGGGGTTTTGGGG